CGGGTCACCGGACCAGGCCGCATGCGCGCGGCGCCTGCGCATAGAGCCCGCCCCGGGTTCGCCGCTCCTAGCAACCGGGGAATCAGCACCGGCTCCCAGCTCAACGGTGGATTCAGCTATCGGCAAACACTGCCGTAGATCGTGAAAGGATCGTTAACCCCCTTCCTGATACCAGACAGCTGTTACTAACAGGAAAGGGTGTGAGAGTACCTAGAGTCAGCCTTCCTCCCCAGGGCAGCAACGGCACCCCACCAAGAAAGGGGGTGCCCCATCAGGCAGGGTACACCCAGCACCAGCAGGTGACCTCGCTACACCAAGCAGCAGCATCTGGCAGGAACTGGAGTCTCAAGCCAAGAGCAGACAAACTCACCTGCTACATACACATCAGCAACACCCCTAGCACCATTAGGAAGGTTGATCCGCATTTCAAACCGCAGTCCTTGACCCACCACATAGATTTAGAAGTTGGGGAATGCCGTTGTTGCTTATTCAAAACAAAAACATCGATTTACACACAGGCCATGACCTCCAAAGTACTACAGAGTGTGACCTGAAAAGACAGCACCCATGAAGGCCAGAAGAACAAGCTGCTGTGAGGCCCCCACACACTTCAGAATTAAGCATGCACACACACCAGAGCTTTCAACTTTGAGTTTTGCCTAACTCATGGGTGGGTTTAGTCTAGCCTAGTGGAAACAGAAACATCCATGTGCAAGATCTACACTTACCTGGCATTATTTCTGCTGAAATAAATAGCATTAATTAAAACAAAATTACAGAAAGGAAGATGAAAGGCCAGCAGTTCAGAATACTTTTCTGACAGCAGCACAAGAAAGGCAGCAGAAAATGTGAAACGCTGTTCAAATCAGTCAAACTGGCAAACCAAAGCTTTATTTTTTGTTTAAAGTCTTTGCTACAGTACCTAGGACTGTGCCTCTATACATAATTAACAATCGTTCCTGAAAGATCTGTATTTGGCACCAGTTTGTGTTTACCTCAAACACTTGGGGGGAGGATTAATGTCAAATCAAATTTGGTTTTTCCAACAGAACAGGAGCTGCCATCATGAAGCCAATTAGCTGAGTTATTGGAGAAGCTTAAAAACAAAACAAAAACCAAAGTCTTTATCTAAACCAACACATTACAGAGAGCTCCAAAACAGAGGTCAAACATTAAAAGGCTGATATAGGCTCAAGTGGTTTATAAAACCTATAAAAAAAGACTACACCAGCAAATATGCCCTTTCAGTCCAGACAGTTTAGAAACGAATGCAGGGAGCAACACTCGCTAGCTGGAAATCTTGTCGTGGGAGAACCACACATGTACCAACAGGAGTATTCAAAATCAAATGTTAAAACGCTCCAATTCCCAATCCGCATAAAAGGAGAGAGATTCATAGCAAGATTAAATCAATCCATGAAATCATAATTGGTTGGGCAGTTCAATCTTCCCCCAGCAACCACTACATCACTCATACACACAGGCTCACATGTACACGGCTCAATCCCATTCAAATTCCTCATGGAATAAAAGGATCCCAGGCTCTATTTTCCCTATCATGCAAGAAATAAGTCTGGCTGTGCTTTAATCACCATCATGTATTACTTCAGCCATAGAGTACCAGGCAGATTAAGTAGAAATGCACAGTTTTTAGCTCATCATCTCTGCAGAAGTGTTTTGAGAGGCTCAGTTCGTGGAGAGTTCTGGGTGGGCATACAGTCTCTCTTCATGCAGACTCACTGGCCTCTACTGGCTTAATCATGTGGTCCGGTTTGTTGCCAGCAGCATAGTGATCCCACATCTGAAGATAAAGCCGCTCCAGGTCCATTGTGTATTGTTTCGTGTTGAACAAAGGACTGGATATTCTCTGCTTCCAGACTTTGCCACGTATTTTTTTCAGGCTATAAAAAGAGTTAAAGCAGTCATAAGAGGTTCCAAACACTTCATAATATTGTTCACTTTTGAAGTCTATCTTCAGCTAACCCAGAACTGCCCGTACAACTGTTTCAAAAGTATCTGCTCCCCGACTTCCACCAAATTCACATTGCTGTTTCATCCCCTCATCGTTTCTGATACAGACCAGCATGACTACTTCAACTCAAGAGCTGCAACATTAACGCATTAACTTGCTGCATTACCTGTACCGCAGTAACTTTTTACAGCACGATTTTAACTTGCAGTAAGTGACAAACTGCTTAATTTTCAATTAAAAAAGAACAAAAGGTGAACAATATTGCATTTTTTAGCAGGTAAGAGCCTGCAGGTGAGCAATTCCTTCAGAACAGGTAGCATTGTTACTCAATTGGGAGTGCTGTTAAGTTTACTGTAAAAGCAGAAGCGGAGTTAACTGCAAGACAAGAAACCTCTAGGCGAGGATTGCCTAGCTACTTTAAATATTAAAATGTCTGCAAGGTTAAAACTACTGATAAGTCTCAGCACTGTGCCAAAATACAGCATTTTACATTCTTGATGTTACCACATTACAGAGTACAAGTTTGCTTACTATTCCAGATCAGTTCCCAGTTTCACAGCAATATCTTCATATTCCTGTCTACTTTTTGCAATGAGCTCAAGACAGCCCAGGCAAGTAAGCTGGGAGGCAGCAACTCGTGACGCAAGAGTCTCGCCTGTTTAAAAAAAAAAAAAAATAAATAAACTGGTAACAGGAGTAATCTTTTCAAGTAACATATTGCACAGTATGAGTTACTTTCCTTCTGCCTCTACAAGAGGCAACAAAGTTTGTTGGGCTTGCTGCCTGTTATTCAAAGATTAATAATATTCAAACCTGTCTGTTCTACGTAGGTTCCCCACTGCGTTACCTGGCATAGTGACCATTGGAGTCCCAGCCCAGAGTACATCCATCCCAGTTGTGTGCCCATTGCAAAGCGGAGTGTCTAGACAAACATCAGCCAACTGCCCTCTCCTCACATGTTCTTCTTTGGGGGCAACAGGAGAAAAGATGATTCGGTTTTGGGAAAGACCCAAGTTTTGTGCATATTGCTGAATATTGGGCTCTCCTACAGCTGGGAAACGTAGCAGCCACAGCACACTGTTTGGAACTCTTTTTAGGATCTGTAACAAAAATAAAGAAGCAAATACAGAAAGTTCAGTCAGAAACACTTCCTTTTCTGAACAAGAAATTACCGCGTATCAAAATGAAGCAAACTGTATAATCATGCAACACTTTAATCTTCTGAGATACAGAGCAGGAAAAAAATAGATCACCACTTCGAGTGGAGTAACAAGGATTGCATTTCTAATCCCACTGAAAGAGACAGCAACTCTGAGCAGCAGTTCACAGAGCAGAACTTGAGAGTAAGTCTTGAAATTTAGGAACTCTTATGTATAGGCCCATGCTATGCAATATAAAAAAATTACCCCTCAAGTAACTCTCAACAATACACTACAAATTGGACCTTCACAGAGATGCTCAGTGTTCAGATCTATCATTCTACCAACTGCGAAGGCCAGTTATGACTTGATTGTGCAGACTAGGGAAGACCAAACTTACTTCACAACGGAGTACCAGCATACTTAAGCTGTCCAAGATATAATTTTTCACTGACTTAGAAGCACAGATGTGACTTGAAATCAATCTAAAAAATTTTATATTCTATTAACACTAAGTCCTGCAACACAAGCACTGTAAAGATTCAAATGGCTCAGGGTCAATGTCTTCCATTTACAGTGGAAAACAGAGCAGTTACAGTTTTAACTTGCATGAAGTTTTTGCTAACTCGAAAAGAACAGCTATGTTCCAGAAGTCTGACCTTAGATTTTTGTATTAGACACAGATACTCACATTAGCCCACATCTGTAAAGTGGAAGGATCAATCTTATACAGCTGATTAAAGTTACAGTATACAACAGCATCCTCTGGTAAGCCATACTGAGAACGGGTAGTAACAATTATAGTTCGTGGAACTTCTTCGCCAGTTGCTGCTTTGTTGTTAATCTAAAGAAAAAAAATAGCTATTGGAACACTGAAATTGCAGGAAACAACACTATGCCCAGTGGAATTGTCCTGAGACACACTGCAACATTTGTTGGCATCATAAGTTACTGTAAGCATGTCTTTGGTTTTACTATAGGAAACAAAATCGTCTACCTACTCATAACAAGAGTTTAACTGGTATGCATACGTGCTTGTGCATGCCACTATGTTGCAACCACAAAGGCACAAAACATTGGGCATTTTCATGCCCTTGCTCCATCTCCCTGAAATTCCAAGTAACTGGAATAATTGGAAAGAAGAATCATATAAAGAGGTATTACACACAGACTCCTCCTCTCCTTAAGGTCACTTCATTTCCTTAAGATCAAAAATGAAGTTAAGAATTCAAGGAAGCATAAAAAAGTATTTAGAAAGCAAAAGGGGGGTTTTTTGGTTGGTTTGGTTTTTTGTGGTTTGGGGTTGTTTTATCTTAAAAAAAAAAAAAGACAATAGGCACAGAATAGATAGTCAAGACTGAAGATACAGACTAATATGTAACTGATAAACTGTAAGGTACTAGCCGACAATGAACTAATGGAAAATGCTGAAAATTAGACTAGAAGAGTTATTAACGGACTTTCAAAAAAGAACAGATCTTACAGCCTTCACAAAGAATAGGAATACGCTAACAAAAAACAGCAGAGGATGAAGTTGGGATAATCACAATACCATGCAAGAATCTTCAGGATTAGTAAAATGTAAGTATGATTTTTAGGTTGTTTTTTTTTTTTGGTTGGTTGGTTTGTTTTGTTTGGTTTTGTTAATAATGACAGGCAATGGTGGGATCAAAGACAGATAAAATCATCAGTACAGATAAGGCAAAAGAGGTACTAAGACCCTTTTTCTTTATATATATATAAATATGTATTTTACATACATATATATTTAAAATTTAGCTCAGTGGCAGTGTAGCAGGCCAAAATAAGCATACTGTTGACAAACGTGACATGAATGACAGTGACTCACTGTCACTTACTCTGTTAGAAAACATATGAGAGAATTTAGTTCAACAAAAGTCCCTAAAAGTGCTACTTATCCAGGTCACTGAGGAGACCTCAAAAACGCAATGCACAGTTCTCATCAACCTATGCCCAAAACTAGCTGATATCAAATTAGAACAAGCACAAAAAAGGGTTATATTAGTGTGATCAAAAGATAGAAATCCTGTTTTAAAGCGCACTGACAGAGCTTAGACTGTTTCATCTTGGTGGTGAACTGCTAAGACAAGAATTCTCTACTATTCTCAGGGGACGACAATTTCACAAAAAAACGCTACTGACCAAACTAAGACATAACCTATTACCAACTGTGCTGGTTTCGGCTGGGGTAGAGTTAATTTTCTTCATAGTAGCTAGTATGGGGCTGTGTTTTGGATTTGTGCTGAAAACAGTGTTGATAACACAGGGATGTTTTCATAACCACTGAGCAGGGCTTACAGAGAGTCAAGGCCTTTTCTGCTCCTCACATCACCCCACCAGCAAGCAGGTTCAGGGTGCACAAGAAGTTGGGAGAGGACACAGCTGGGACAGCTGACTTCAACAGGCCAAAGGGATATCCCATACCATATGATGTCATGCTCAGCATATAAAGCTGGGGGAAGGAGAAGGAAGAGGGGGGACGTTGGGAGTGATGGTGTTTGTCTTCCCAAGTAACGGTTAAATGTGACAGAGTCCTGGTTTCCTGGAGATGACTGAACACCTGGCCTGCTGATAGGAAGTAGCGAACATATTCCTTGTTTTGCTTTGCTTGCGTGCTTTACTTACTAAATTGTCTTTATCCCAACCAGTTTTCTCACTTTTACTCTTCTGATTCTCACCCTCATCTCACTGAGGGGAGAGTGACCAAATGGCTGTGTGCAGCTTAGTTGCCAGCTGGGGTTAAACTACACCACCAACTTAAAAGGAAAGTCTCAGTTGTGAACAGAACTACTCATAAAAAGAAATCAAGGCATGAAATTACGGATAGAGCAGTGATAAAAGGTCTCACAAAATGACGTAAAAGAGTCTCCTGTAAACTGAATAAAATTCACAAGTCAAAAGAGTTAAGCCAATGTCAAAATATAGTATTTTTAAAAAGGAAGAACTGTTCTGCAAAGGAAGAAGTATTAAACAAAACCATTAATTGTCACTACCGCTAAAATCCCGCGAACTGTTAAGCATTGAGAGGTGGTGGTATAGTGCATAGTTCAGAAAGATGTAAGGAGATGAATAAACAGTGTTGAGACACAGCTGAATTAACTTTGCCTGTATTACCCAGCAATTTGTTTCTAAAGGGAAAACAACCAAAACTGGATAACAGCTCACAAATGTCCTCAACGAGCAAATCTTGCCTTCAAATTTCAAACAACCAAGTGTCTTCTCTATGCAACAAGATTAAATTTCTTTGGACCTCAGATACCTCTTGACATAACCTCTCTATCTTTGGGGGGAAAGATCATCTTCCAGTACATCTATGGCTTATAACACATTTCCAAGTTTCCTTCAGTATGAGGACTAAACAAATCAACATGACAGAAGGCAGACATTTGTTTGGAGGTTTTTCTTCCTTGTTATGTTAAAACACGGAGATAAAACTCAAGAGAACAGTGTCTTGAAGTGCCTCACCTGAGTAGTTGCTAATCCATTACTGATGTTGAATCCATTGATAGTTATCTGAATTTGCCCACGATTAATCATCTCAATCACAGCTTCTGCAATTGTGTTCATAGGAATGACTGGCATACTGAGGGCAGCATTGCCGTCTGCATTGTCACAACTGTCAGGACACTTCATCTAAGACAAATCACATAAGCATCAGAGAAAGTACTAGCTTCAGTCCCTAAGACTGAACACACAAGGGAGTAGGCTCTTACCTTAACAATCTTGACATCAGGGAGGCTGTCAAGGAAAGCCTTCAAGTCAATGCCATTCAAAACAATTCTGTTATCATAAATATGACCATTGGACTTGAAATCAATGACTGCTTTTTTCTGTTAAAAAAAAAATATAACAAAGTTACAAGACCAAGTACTACACTAAGTGCCATTTTATAAAGACAGCTATGGAAAACACCTACTTTTTTTGCCCTATCTTCCAACATACCTTCAGATGGGGGAACATATTGGCATGGTCTCCAATAAAGAAAGTGTTTGGCATGTAAGCTAATTTCTCTGAATACTGCTCAGCCACCTCAACTGGGGAAGTTTCTTTATCTGTGATGATATAATCCATGAACAATGCCCCACTGGTTCCAGGATAACCTAGCCACATTGCCTAAAAAAGAAGAAAATCAGGTTACAGTCCCAGGTGCATTGCAAAAATAAAGGAAGTTACAAATCAACGTACTTTAAGTTAAATTTTCCACCTACAGATGCAAGTTCCTTGTTGTGCTTTATCAACTGAAGAGCAACCACTAACTCCAAACTTTCACTATCAAGACAGTGAACAGTTCAAGGACATTCTAAAATTGATCCCTCAAGCACAAGGCCAAAGTATCCAGCTACGTGCAGCTATAGTGAGAATACTAACCATCAGTGGTTACAGTTTCTCCTAGCTGAGACAACTTCTGCAGCCTAGAGTTAGTCTGATTCAGGCTTCTCCCATTCTCTTTCCATAGGCATTTTAGAAAATCCTTAGTCAAAAAAATAACTGACATTGATCTGACTTATTCAAACTAGAAGTGCACTAAGCCTAAAGAGATTAAAATGCAACAACTCATTTCCACAACTGCTTCAAAACCCCTTTTTTTTGTTCTCAGTAATGCATGAAAGGCAATGGTGTACAGGAACCTCACAGAGTTATGGAGTTCTCTTTCAGAACATAGTCAACTCTCTATAAAGCATATAAAAAACCCAAAATACTCAGCTTCAACAGAACGATCCTATTTGCCTCAGAGACACTAAGCCCTAAAAAAGTCTCTCGCTTAATCAATATGAGCCTTCAACGTTTCTTCCACTCTGCCAGAAGAAAACCAGAAACTTTTCCCACTCACAAGTGGTTTTTTTGGAGACAAAGAGCCCTCTAAGTTAGTTACCTGAATAGGTGCTGGTCTCAGGGCAAATAACTCATTTCGGGCTCCTTTGGTGTAACCATTCATATTAATGAGAATGTGTATCCCATCCTGATGGATGCGGTCTGCTGCTTTTCCATTACATGGTATCTGAGGAATAAATAAATAGAAATTACTTTTGTTTACAGTTCAGTAATAAATGTGGTTAGTCATCAGTGTACAAATGGATAAATGCCAACTGCATAATTTAATTTAGGTGAGACTTAAATCTCGTTACTCCTGGTTTTAGAGAGGTCTAAGTCCTCAATTCCATCAAAAAAACCCCTGTTGAAGCCAAGAAAAACGTAAGTTTGCTACACACAGTTGAAGCAGTTGCTAACAGAAATTCTAACGTGGTACTTGAGGACTGCCTCCGCACATTCAAATCAGAGGAGTGACACCTAGCATTGCCAAGCTCAGCAAGTCATGCAGAAAAACATCACAAATGGACTACTTCAAGCAACACTGAAACTGCTTCAGTTCTTGACTAAATCAAAACCAAAGAGGAGTAGAACTTCACACAAGGTATTACCAATGAACTCCAAGAAGAACAGCAAAGACTTGGAAATTACAATGTGTCTCTTCCTGTCTAATACTGAAAGGTAAACAATTTTCAACAGTTTTAAACTCCAAGAATTAATTATGTAACTAGTCATTACCTACACGCAGATAAAAGAAATTATCTGATAGATGTCTCTAGTTCAGCAGCAGTAAAACAAAAACCAAAGGCTAGAAACTGAGGCTATACAAACCAGAACAGGCCCACCACCACCACTGCTGTAAGGCTAATTAATGATCAAAGCTCATATAGGGCAACTGGTAGATTCCCAAACTAAGGTAATACAGAGAAATTACTTCAAACTGAAGATCAAGAATAAGCCAATTAACTACTCTGCAGCTACTGCTGACTCACCCTACAATTAATACGCACCATAAAATTACTTAATTTTTTTTAAAAAGGAAAGCAATTTTCCATTTTATAGCAGGGTAAACACAGGCACATGGTCAGTTATATCTCTGAGTAGACAACAATGTGAGTTCCCATCTTAGTTTAACTTCTGCTAAGTTACGCTGCTAATGCAGTACACTGATTATCCCTTTGCCTTAGGGTTTTGTCAGTTACCTTGAGACAGTACAGCAACAACTTGACTTCTGTGTATACTGAAATCCCCATCAGTTTTCACATGGAACTTAAAAAAACAAAACCACCTGCAAATGTTACCAAAACAGTCTTTTGATAGAGGTGCAAAATCCCCCCATTAATCTGTAAGCCTCTGTCCTGCTTCACTGGAGTAAAGGAAGCTTAAATATATTTGCAGTCATGGCATCTTGACTTATCCATGACATTCAGATATAACTATTACCCTAAGACCTAATGGAACAGTTATTCAATGTTGCTAATACTACTCTTTAATAATCATACAGAGGTCATGCAGAAACCACTGCATCCCAGGTAAGGCATAACACCAATACATCCACAAACTCCAGAATTCTCAAGGTTGACATCAGCCTAATTCAAGAAATGATTGCAACTAAAAATCTCAAACTACAGGCTGATCTCTTTCTTCATTTAGGTTTGCTAAAAGGTCAATGCATCAAAAAAGCTCACCTGAGATAAGTCAATGAAATGATTTGCTTCAGCCATCACTTTTACACGGAAGTTTGTACCATCATCAGGACTCAGGGCATAACAGAATACCTAGAATATGAAGGCACCAAACCTGAGTATCTGCAACAACTTGCCAAAAAAATAACTTTGCTATAAAATATACAGTATTGCAATTTTAAATTACATTCGTAAAATTACATCTAGTTTTAGAGAAATTATATTTATTTGTGTGGCATTTACCAGTTGAAAGAGTAAAAAAAAAAAAAAAAAAAATCAAACAGGGAGGTCATTGTTCTAGTTTCAGCTGAGAATTTTTTTTCTTCCTAGCAACTGGTACAGTGCTGGTTTTTTTGATTTAGTATGAGAATAATGTTGATAACACACTGATGTTTTAGTACCTGCTAAGCAGTGCTTACTGTAAGCCAAGGACTTTTCAGTTTCCCACGTTCTGTCAATAAGGAGGTGCACAAGAAGCTGGGAGGGAGCACAGCCAGGACGGCTGACCCAAACTAGCCAAAGGGATATGCCATACCACAGAATGTAATGCTCAGTATATAAACTGGGGGGAGTGGGCCAGGAGGCATTGATCACTGCTGAGGGACTGGGTGGGCATCAGTCAGCAGGTGGTGAGAAATTGTATTGTGCATCACTCGTTTCTCTTGCGTTTTATTCCTCTCTCTCTGTTAGCTCCCTTTTCACTACAATCATCATTATTATTACATTTCATTTATTAAACTGTTCTTAGCTGAACCCATGGGTTTTATCTTCTTCCAATTCTCCTCTCCATCCTACCAGGGCAGGAGGGGAAGTGAGCAAGCGGCTGCATGGTAGTTGCTTGCTCGCTGGTGTTAAACCACGACAGTCATTTGACACAGTTGCACTAGGCCCCAGTTCTACCTAGTTCTGGTGCTGGAGTACAGTACTGCATCTTGCATAGACATATATAGAATGTTCCCATCAGTGTAAAGTGAAGTAATTTAATAAATGGATTTGCATAAGCATTTGTCATCTACCTGGACTTGTGCAAAGCATTTGACGCTGTCCCACATGACATCCTTGTCTCTAAACTGGAGACATGGATTTGATGGATGGACCACTTGGTGGATAACGAATTGGCTTGATGGTCACACCCAAAGAGTTGCGGTCAATGACTCGATGTTCAAGTGGCGACCAGTGACGAGCGGCACTCCTCAGGGGCCAGTATTGGGACTGGCGCTGTTTCACATCTTCATCAATGACATGGACAGTGCAGCTGAGCGCACCCTCAGCAAGTCTGCCAACAACACCAAGCTGCGTGGTGCAGTCAACATGCTGTAGGGA